TTAATTTCTGCTGTACAGCAAAGTGTTCAGTTATACATATATATATATTCTTTTTCATATTCTTTTGCATTATGGATAATCACAGGATATTGACTATAGTTCCCTGTGCTATATATCCTATATATAATAGTTTGCATCTGCTAATCCAAAACTCCCAGTCCTTCCCTCCCCCACCTTCCCTTGGCAACCACAAGTTTGTTCTCTGTATCTGTGAGTCTGTTTCTGTTTTGTAGATAAGTTAATTTGTGTCATATTTTACATTCCACATATAAGTGATATCATATAGTATTTGTCTTTCTCTTTCCGACTTACTTCACCTAGTATGATAGTCTCTAGGTCCATCCACGTTGATGCAAATGGCATTATTTCATTCTTTTTTATGGCTGAATAGTATTCCATTGTATATATAGACTACATCTTCTTTACCCATTCCTCTGTCGATGGACATGTAGATTGTTTCCATGTCTTGGCTATTGTAAATAGTGCTACTGTGAACACAGGGGTGCATGTATCTTTTCGAATTAGAGTTTTGTCTGGATGTATGCCTAGGAGTGGGATTGCTGGATCATATGGCAACTCTTTTTTTAGTTTTTTGAGGAACCTCCGTGCTGGTTTCCGTAGTGGCTACACCAATGTACATTCCCACCAGCAGTGTAGGAGAGTTCTCTTTTCTCCACACCCTCTCCAGCATTTATTATTTGTAGACTTTTTGATGATGGCCGTTCTGACTGGTGTGAGGTGGTACCTCACTGTAGTTTTGATTTGCATTTCTCTAATAATTAGCAGTGTTGAGCATCTTTTCATGTGCCTATTGGCCGTCTGTGTGTTTTCTTTGGAGAAATATCTATTTAGGTCTTCTGCCCATTTTTTGATGGGGTTGTTTGTTTTATGTTCTTGAGTTGTAGGAACTGTTTGTATATTTTGTATAAGCCCTTGTCGGTTGCATCATTTGCAGATATTTTCTCCCAGTCCATAGGTTGTCTTTTTGTTTTGTTTATGGTTTCCTTTGCTTTGCAAAAGCTTGTAAGTTTGATTACGTTCCATTTGTTTATTTTTCTTATTTCTATTGCCTTGGGAGACTGACCTAAGAAAACATTGCTACAGTTTATGCCAGAGAATGTTTTGCCTACATTCTCTTCTAGGAGTTTTATGGTGAACGACACAATTTTTAAAGTTTATGGATCCTTTCAAGTCTAATATATTGACTTTTTTTTGCATTTTCATCATCAGTGTTTCAATTTAGCAGCATCAAATCACCTGTAACATACACGGCTTTCCCAGGTCTTGCCATTCTGCAATGTGAAATGAGCAAATGCGTGTGTGTACAAGATGCAGGCTGGTGGGACCAGGACCAGGTTAGCTGGTACAGTGCTTGGGGAGACCACTGGGTGTGAATCCCAGGAGCTATCTTTGGAGTATATGTTGGAGGCTGGCTACTCCAATAAGCCTACTAATGCCCATCCCCCACTCTCATTTTTCCCTCTTTTATTGTATTTTTATAGATTTAGTTATTTATTTGTTTGTTTATGGCTGCATTGGGTCTTTGTTGTTGGGTCTTCATTGCTGCAAGCAGGCTTTGTCTAGTTGCGGTGAGCGGGGGGCTACTCTTCGTTGCGGTGCGTGGGTTTCTCATTGCGGTGGCTTCTCGTTGCAGAGCTCGGGCTCTTGGCACGCGGGCTTCAGTAGTTGTGGCTCGCGGGCTCTAGAGCACAGGCTCAGTAGTTGTGACGCACAGGCTTAGGTGCTCCGCGGCATGTGGGATCTTCCCAGACCAGGGCTCGAACCCATGTCCCCTGTGTTTGCAGGCAGATTCTCAACCACTGCGCCACCAGGGAAGTCCCTTTTTTTTTTAATTTAAAAAAAAATTTTTTTTTGGCTGTGCTGTGCATCTTGTGGGATCTTAGTTCTCCGACCAGGGATTAAACCCAGGCCATATTACTGAAAGTGCCAAGTCCTAACCACTGGACCACCAGGGAATTCCCTGCCCTGTTTTATTATGTCTATAACTCTTTTCACTACCTGAAGTTATTTCTTTGTTGTAAAATAAGTGTCCATCTCCCCCACTAACCTGTACGCTCTGTGAGATCAGAGACCTCCTCAGGCCTCGCTGAGGTCTCCTCCATGATTAAGAGCAGCATCTGGCACACAGTAGGTGCTCAATAAATATTGGTTGAAGGAGAGAATGAAGAATCAGTGTCAGGTCCAGTGCTGGGTTCTGGGAAGTATATCAGCATCTCTGTGGTGGGCTTGCAGCCCTTATTTTGAAGGTCTGAGACCAGATTGGGCTCTGTGAGGTGAGTTTCTTTGAGATGGCAGGAGCTGCCAGCACCGACTGTGACGTTTCCCTAAATGCTGGTCCTTAGCCTCAGAGTAAGCTGGGGCCTAGTAACACTCCACTGCCCACCAGGACTCCTACAGTGGAGACTTCCCCAGACACAGGAATGGTTTCATATGCCAGGCATCCCCCCCAAAATGACAAAGAGCCACTTTGTCATTACACCAGCTTGCCCAGCCTGGCCCCCAGTGACTGAGAATTGCTTCAGATTCTGTCTCTCACATTTCTTTGTAAGGCCTGTGGGGCGTGTAGTCTGGCCCCATGCTCTCCCCTCCAGCCTTGCTGCTACACTAAGCAGCCCGTTTCACTCACCACCCCCTTACCTTCCCTTACCCACCTGGGCAGGTCTTGCTTCTGGTTCCATAATAATACAGCGCCACAGTCCCCAGTCTGCCGGTTCAAAGTCCAAAAAGCTCCAACCACTGAAGGTTTTCTCTAAGGTCTTGTCCTTCCCGCCGAGACCACCAGGAACCCAGCTGTAGTTGAGCAAAGTTGGCCTCATGGACTTGTTGCCATAAGGGAGAACATACAGCATGCCTGTTCTGATCACCTCCTGCTCACCCCTTGGTAGGAAGGGACCCCACCCTCAATAGTACCACACCTGGCACTGGACAGGTGAGATCCACGCATATACTCACAGCTGGGGGAAGAGGACACCGAGGGCCACCTGGTGGAAGCCTCTAGAATCAGGACAGAAGACAGAGTTCTTGGAGTTAGGAAGCAGAGGGAACCAGCAAGGGCTGTGGGTGCAGTCTTTGTAGTAATGGGGGGTGGGGGTCTCCCCTGGTTCCCACAGGAGGATATGATGGGCTTGCTTGAATAATTTCACAGGCTGGCAGGGAACCGAAGCCCCTCAGGATGAGGACGGGGTGGAGTGCATATGGTCTGACTGGTGGGGGAACTAGCAGGGTGGGGGGCTTTCCCTGCTGGGTGGGGGACACCTCTGACAAGAGCAAGGGAAACCAAGGGGGCCTGTGAGACCCAAAGATGTCAAGGCAGCAGTTGAAATTTTAGTCTATGGGGAGTTCCCTGGTGGTCTAGTGGTTAGGATTCGGTGCTTTCACTGCCAGGGCCTGGGTTTAGTCCCTGGTCAGGGAACTGAGATCCAGTAAGCCACATAGTGCACCAAAAGAAAAAGAAAAAGGAAATTTTAGTCTAACAACACAGTGGGGATCCCAGGGACATCTCACAAGAGGGTTAAGGTAGAAGGAGTTGTTCTGGGATTTGGCCCTTGTCAGGCGATGGGGGGAGCATTTTAGGTTGGTGCTGTCAGGAAGCAGGGGTAGTTCTATGGTATTTTAACCAGTCTTATCTCGAAGGCCGGAGGAATGAAGCAAAGCTAACGGTCTAGCTGGTCGAGAAGCAGCAGTCACTTGGCTCAGCCAGGACAGGGGCCACATGGTCATATTTGTAGTTTGGATGATGTTCTGTTCTTGTATGAGCTCAGACATGACTGTTACTGGCCTTGTTTGGTCTTGAGCCCATCACAGGCAGAGCGGCCCTGTTGGTTGGGGTTTCTGGGAAGTCACCTTCACTGAAGTGGACCAAGGTCCCCCCAGCTGGGCCAGTTTCCCATCCACGCTGCCTCTCTCCTCCCCCGTGCCCCTTCTAGCTGAGGGCAGACGAGGTCAGCCCTCAGGCCGCTCATCTCGATACCCAGAACTCCGCCCTTGACAAAGCATGCAGGTCAGGAGGTTTGTAGGTGGACTGTGTGTGATTAGACCTCCCACTTTTGTGCATGTGAGCTGTCCAGTCCTCTCATGGGGCAGTCGCTGCACTTAAGGCTCTGGACAGCAGACATCAGCCACCACAACACAGGCAGATGTCAGAAACAAAACTGGCTGTTGGTTGTGGTACCAGATCCTGAAGACAGAGACCTCGACTGCCAAACCCAGGCCCTGAAAACCGCCCCAGAGTCGGGCTCATCTTTCCCTCGAGACC